AGACATTGATGCACATGAATTAGAAGCAAATACAAATAACAAGCAATAGCATATCAGCAGTGTAAGATAAACTGTGTGTGTGTGTGTGTGTTTGTGTGTGTGTGTGTGTGTGTGTGTTTGTGTGTGTGTGTGTGTGTGTGTGTGTGTGTGTGTGTGTGTGTTGTGTGTGAGGTCATTTCATTACACGCTGCCAGTTGGCGTGCTGATATAGATCCTGTCCTGTAGTTCAGGAACAGCAACGCCCTCACATGTCCTTTTTTCCTTCTACTTTTTAATTGCCTGTTGTCATATTTTATGACCTCATCTCCTGACAAAAGGGAAAGCATTTGCAGACCATTTACATGCACTAAAACCTATAGAACACACTATAGGAAAGGGAAAACCCATAAGACGTTCTTCTTTCTAACTTCTGGAGAAAACATTGATCCACGACTATTAAACAGAAAGGAATACCTCTGCAGGAAGCTTTGGGATTGTAGCCTTTGCAAACCATTTACATGCACTAAAACCTATAGCACACAGTACAGGAAAGGGAGAATAGTTCTTCTTTCTAACTTCTGGAGAACACATTGATGATCTTAAACTTCACATTGCCTCAGATTTGTGGCAGATCTCCTCCTCAGTCAGTGTGATTATTCTGATATCAGAGACGTTTTCTATCTATCTATCACTGCTGCGAATAAAAAGGCCAGAGCACTCTTTGATCCGAGCTGAAATCTGAGCGAAGCGGCCTTTCGTTTTTTAATATCTGTCAGGTCACAAAGCTGTTGTTTAATGTGTGCTTACTGAAGGGTGTTATCATGCACTCTTATGTCAATACATCTAACATGTTCATTTAAATGTCAAATCTATATCTCAGTTACTTTATCACTTTATTTAAAAACATTTTGTATTATTATCTTAATTTTTTGTCTTTATTTGTACCGTGTGTGAATCCTGTTTTTAACCCTGTTGCTGCCGTAAACGCAACTTTTAAATACAGTTCCATCTTATCTCATGTGATGGAGCACAGAGGAATAACGGCATGCAATCTACATGAATCTTTATATGTGGTGTGTGTGTGTGTGTGTGTGTGTGTGTGTGTGTGTGTGTGTGTGTGTGTGTGTGTGTGTGTGTGTGTATGTGTGTTTGAGAGTGGGCCAACTTTATGAGCTAAATCTGAGCGCTGAATTACTGGAGCTTTGTCAACCAATGTCTACACAGAGGACATTACAGATATAGACCCGCTGTTTGAGTTTATCACAGAAGGCTGTGCAGAATCGTTTTTATATCCAAGGCTTTTTGAGACTTTTCATTTTGTTATCTTCTGTAAGATTTTCTGTCCATTAGCAATTTTCCTTTGTACGCCTTATCTTGATTAGCTGGAGGTGAAACTACAGGAGGCATGGTTTTGAAACAGAGAACAACCTTTCATGTAAAACTGGAACCGTGCATTACTGGAGCTTTCTCTTCTACATCAACATGTGTCCCCTCTTCTTCATGTCTCTTCTACATCAACATGTGTCCCCTCTTCTTCATGTCTCTTCTACATCAACATGTGTCCCCTCTTCTTCATGTCTCTTCTACATCAACATGTGTCCCCTCTTCTTCATGTCTCTTCTACATCAACATGTGTCCCCTCTTCTTCATGTCTCTTCTACATCAACATGTGTCCCCTCTTCTTCATGTCTCTTCTACATCAACATGTGTCCCCTCTTCTTCATGTCTCTTCTACATCAAATGTGTCCCCTCTTCCTCATGTCTCTTCTACATCAACATGTGTCCCCTCTTCTTCATGTCTCTTCTACATCAACATGTGTCCCTCTTCCTCAATCTCTTCTACATCCAACATGTGTCCCTCTTCTTCCTGTCTCTTACATCACATGTGTCCCCTCTTCTTCATGTCTCTTCTACATCAACATGTGTCTCCTCTTCTTCATGTCTCTTCTACATCAACATGTGTCCCTCTTCTTCATGTCTCTTCTACATCAACATGTGTCCCCTCTTCTTCATGTCTCTTCTACATCAACATGTGTCCCCCTCTCTTCATGTCTCTTCTACAATCAACATGTGTCCCCTCTTCTCCATGTCTCTTCTACATCAAAACTGTGTCCCTCTTCTCCATGTCTCTTCTACATCAACATGTGTCCCCTCTTCTTCATGTCTCTTCTACATCAACATGTGTCCCCTCTTCTTCATGTCCTCTTCTACATCAACATGTGTCCCCTCTTCTCCATGTCTCTTCTACATCAACATGGTGTCCACTCTTCTTCATGTCTCTTCTACATCAACATGTGTCCCCTCTTCTCCATGTCTCTTCTACATTAACATGTGTCCCCTCTTCTCCATGTCTCTTCTACATCAACATGTGTCCCCTCTTCTTCATGTCTCTTCTACATCAACATGTGTCCCCTCTTCTTCATTGTCTCTTCTACATCAACATGTGTCCCCTCTTCTTCATGTCTCTTCTACATCAACATGTGTCCCCTCTTCCTCATGTCTCTTCTACATCAAACATGTGTCCCCTCTTCTTCATGTCTCTTCTACATCAACATGTGTCCCCTCTTCTTCATGTCTCTTCTACATCAACATGTGTCCCCTCTTCCTCATGTCTCTTCTACATCAAACATGTGTCCCCTCTTCTTCATGTCTCTTCTACATCAACATGTGTCCCCTCTTCTTCATGTCTCTTCTACATCAACATGTGTCTCCTCTTCTTCATGTCTCTTCTACATCAACATGTGTCCCCTCTTCTTCATGTCTCTTCTACATCAACATGTGTCCCCTCTTCTTCATGTCTCTTCTACATCAACATGTGTCCCCTCTCTTCATGTCTCTTCTACATCAACATGTGTCCCCTCTTCTCCATGTCTCTCTACATCAACATGTGTCCCCTCTTCTCCATGTCTCTTCTACATCAACATGTGTCCCCTCTTCTCCATGTCTCTTCTACATCAACATGTGTCCCCTCTTCTTCATGTCTCTTCTACATCAACATGTGTCCCCTCTTCTCCATGTCTCTTCTACATCAACATGTGTCCCCTCTTCTCCATGTCTCTTCTACATCAACATGTGTCCCCTCTTCTTCATGTCTCTTCTACATCAACATGTGTCCCCTCTTCTCCATGTCTCTTCTACATCAACATGTGTCCCCCTCTTCTTCATGTCTCTTCTACATCAACATGTGTCCCCTCTTCTCCATGTCTCTTCTACATCAACATGTGTCCCCCTCTTCTCCATGTCTCTTCTACATCAACATGTGTCCCCTCTTCTTCATGTCTCTTCTACATCAACATGTGTCCCCTCTTCTCCATGTCTCTTCTACATCAACATGTGTCCCCTCTTCTTCATGTCTCTTCTACATCATCATGTGTCCCCTCTTCTTCATGTCTCTTCTACATCAACATGTGTCCCCTCTTCTTCATGTCTCTTCTTCATCAACATGTGTCCCCTCTTCTTCATGTCTCTTCTACATCAACATGTGTCCCCTCTTCTTCATGTCTCTTCTACATCAACATGTGTCCCCTCTTCTTCATGTCTCTTCTACATCAACATGTGTCCCCTCTGTGGAAAGAGACTCTGAAAGTTTCAGGAACAAAGATTCTCTCTCTTTTTGATCCATTTCTATAAAAACCTGTCTGAAAATGAGCTGATCAGGTTTTGGCCACTTTATGATGTCATAACGATGTGTTGTCTTGAGTAACCATTAGCCAATCAGCAACCAAGGTAACCCCCCCCCCCCCCCACCTTATCACCTGAATCTCCTCCTAGAGCACCATTGAGTTCTTTGTAACCAAATCTCTCTCAGAGGGGCGTGGGGAGGGGCTCCTTATTTTCATCTAAAGTAACAGACAGAGAATCAGCACTTTGGAAACAGGGCTGAAACAGAGGGGATTTTGGGTAATGCTGCAATGATCTGTTTGGTGTTTCAGACAAACACTTTAAAAGTATTAATATTAATGATAATAATCCTGAATCCAGTAATAATGCCAGATAAATTCCATTTTATGTTAAATTAAGGAAATTGGCTGCAGGCTGTAGCTTCATATTTAACAGACGGATATCAAGTAATATATATTTTTAAACGAAATAATCATATTTTGCAAAATGTAAAACCTCAGTATTTCTATACGTATTAGTAAATATCTAAAGGGCTGATTACCTTGCAGAATTATTTGTTGTAAATATATGCTTTTGTTTGGAAATGGTCACATCATGTAAAACATGTGTTTTTATTCACTGATTTTTCATAAATGTCTATTCGTACAGCAATGGAGGGATGTCGTGTTATGGATACTCTCTGTATACTGTATATATTACAAAACACTCTGCTATATAACATGTACCATATTATTATTATTAATGTTCGATAAATAACGTGCAATTACGTAACTACCACTACGTTCTTTTTGCACTACTAAATATTAAATACTGTTAATATGTACATTCGTTATGTGACCATCTATGTTTCCTGTAGTTATTGAATTGCTCTTTTTACGGTACGTCCACACGGCAGCGTGCGTTGCTTCAACAGAGACGCTTCCCATTCGCTTTGAATGGGGTGACTTCACGCTTTGCCGAACTGCATTGTGGTTCCCCTCTGTTGGTCGCTTCGAAAGTTGAGAGAAGTTCAACTTTTCAAGTGTCGACGGAAGCGTCAGCCAATCAAATCATATGCCAGTACAAGCGCTAGCCAATCAAACCGCGTGCTTGTGTGTCCGGGGCGGGAGATTCATGTGATTGGTTGTTGGTCGAGTTTCAGACACGCCCACCGACAAGCTTCAACGCGACGCTGCCGTGTGGATTATTATGCTGCTGTGTTTATTGTATTTTTGTAACTCTGGCACAGCAATTTCCTTCGGGATGAATAAAGTCTTATCTTATATCTGAGACCTGGAATATATTGTTGAAATTCACTATAAGATCAGCCAGAAACCAATTGATTTCAGACTGTAATGTGACCCTCTGCAGTCTGACAGCTTTGCTCTGTTCTCCTTCACTGATCCGTCTCATCCATTCCTCTCTCCTTCTCTCTCTCTGTCCTTTAGAGTAAAGATGCCGGCATCAGGACTCTGGTCATGTTGGATGAGCAGGGAGGTAAGTTATTGAGAGAAATCTCCAAACACTGTCTCTCTTTCTTTGCCTTCAATCTGCTGCCAACTCCCTCTGGCAGACATTCAATAATGAAAGAGCCTTCAGCGGCGTAACGTCCTGTGTAACGCTGCAGACACGTTTACGGTTCATAATGACCTTTATGGTTTTATAATCACTATAACAGTTTATTTCTCTGAGCAGATCTTTAAAAGTCGCTAAGAGCTAATGTGGATAAAATGATTATAATGGATGTGACTTCTGCTTCGCCTCCCTATAAATACCCTGATATGCTTATAGCTTTGTCAGACAAACGCATATATACAGAGCTAATGCTATTATATTATAGCTACAGGATATGATACCTACGGTGGACGACAAGTGCAAATGCGTTACATCGGCTCAAGATATTTCCATGAGGAGAAACGCGCTTCAGTTTAAAAAAAGAATGCAAATATAAAAACCCAGATCTGCCAAAACGTGTGAATTATTTTACTCTCCTGTGATCTGATCGAGTCTTAAACACAAGGTCAATGATGTGAATTCAAACAAAACAAAAGCACAACACATCTGGTTATGTTTAGATAATTAAACTACCGCGTCAGGTTGTTCAGTAAAGTATCATTTATCACATATTTACTGTGTTTGTTACGGTGATATTCAAACAAATCAACGTTGATCGCTGGATTAGGATTAGAAATATGTTTACGTCAATATCAAAGAGTGATTTCCCTGGACACATAATCAACAATGCATTTTTCTTGCTTGACGACGTAATCATTAGGAGACCAGGCTGATCATAGATGGACTTTTACTCGGTACAAAAGCACCATGATTTATCTGCTCTCTGAGTCCTGGTGTCAGAGGTCAGAGGTCAGCTGGTGGTCAATATATTTTACTGTTTGACATCTTCTTCAGTCCTGCCCAAGCTATAACTTCATCCACTGTGATAATAAAAAGGTGTTTCTCCTAATGGTTGTGATGAATGGGGTCAACGTTGCTTTAAATTGGATCAGTTTTGAGAAACAGGACCTCAAATAGTGTCAGATAAGAAAAAAAGGAAGACCATTAAACCATTTAATCTGTTTTATACTTCATCAGGTCTGGTTTTATGTGTGTGTCTTTACCACATCTTGCCCTAGAAGCATCGTTCGAGTCTTGCTTCAACACGGAAACAAATCACATGACGCTACGGAAAACATGAATCAGTATCAATAGCCTCGTGATTCAGATCTGCTCCAAAATGTAATGGCTTCATCCTCGGCCATTGCTACTTCGTTCCTCAATTTTATATACAAATCAGACCGGTGATACCGCTGACAAACAAAGGAGACAAAGAGACATACCAAGTTGAAAACATGAACTCTATGGTTGGAAATTGAGAAATGTGAGCATTTATTTGCATATTTGGTATTTAAAGCAATCCAATAGTACCAGAAAGTAATCGTGTTGCATTGTCTCAAACATCTCGTTTTTCTGCATAGAAATGACACTTAATAAACAAGACAGACTTTACATACTATCAGCAAAACAAGCAGAACGGAAAAAAGAAAGAAGAAAAGAAAATAGAAACGCAGCCCAAATAATATTCAAGTGTCTTCATTCTCCCGTCATGTTGTAGACCACTAGCTCCAGGAAGTCGAAAAAGGTTTTCCAGATTTTCCAAAACCTATCCAGTTTGTTTTGAAGGAAAAAACGTATCCTTTCACGAGTAAAGTAGAAAGTCATCCCTTTCAGCCGTTGAGAAAGTCCTCAGGTTGACGGTTCCTTCCATGTGCGAGCGTACCTCAGGTAATTAGTTGTTGTATTGCAACACCTTTAAAAAGTAACCCTTCAAAGCCCGGATGCTTTTATTGGTTACCCCTCTCGTAAAAAGACACTTTAGTCTTTTTGCACAGATCCACGCTTCACAGAGCATCCTAATTGTCCTGTCAGAGGAATAGATAGCCTGTTTCTTTTCTCTTTCTCGTCCCCTTTCCTCACTCTGCTGTTAGCACAGGACAGAAATCAATTCTTTAAATGACCTCTCAGCAGCAAACGTCCTCTTAACCCGATCCTCCACTCTGTCTCGTGACGTCTCTTACAGTAATGACGAAGCTCTTTCCTTGTCTTCATCCTCTCTATTTATCCTTGTTTCAAAATGACGGATATGGATCACATTCCTTTAGTTACTCTCCTGGGATATGATCGAAGTTTTAAACACAAGGTTAATGATGTAAATCCAACAAAACAAAAACAACAAATCTCGTTATGTTTAGATAGTAAAACTACCGCATTTTGTTGTTAGGTTCAGTAAAAGGTAGGGATGGCACGATACCAAAAACTCACGGTACGATATTTATCGCGATATTGAAAAATAAACTTGAATTTAACTTGAATTTGTTTTTCTTTATAAAATAATACATCTGATTTTTACAGCATTTTAGGAGGATAGTAGTATTTTAAAGTGTCAACAATATAATGATCAGACCCTGCAATAGAATAAATCAAGTTTCACTTTAGTTTTTCAAGTAACTCAACTCTCTCACAATCACTCACTCAACATCATCAAGCTTATCTTTTAGGAATATGAGCATGTCCACATTTCCAGGTAGAAGCTGGGATGTTTGAGCGTTTACAAAATCCCCTGCTGTGGAAAAAACTCTCTTGCTTGGTACTGATGTTGCTGGGACAGAGAGATATGCTTTGGCCATGGGTGATAGCAGTGGGTCAAACTGTGCATTGTCTCTCCACTTCAAAAACAATACACTTTTTGCCAAGAAGGTGAGGCTTATTGACAGGGCGAGATATACATATACTGTTGGTACTTGTCAATGTCTCTAGGTGTGTACATGTAGCCTGTAAATACCATGTCCTTTTGTGTTATCCGTTGTTTTATGTTGCCATGTTGGACAGGTCTCCCTTGAAAAAGAGATTGATGATCTCAATGGGACCATCTGGTTAAATAAAGGTTTAAAAAATAATATTATTTAAAAAAAAATAAAAAATACCGGTAGATTTAGTCAGTCTCACGACGGTATTGAGATATTTCTTTACCGCGATATTCGATATATCGTTACATCCAGGGCCGCCTCTCCCTACAGGCCAATCACGCAGGCTGCATGGGGCCCCGCCTTGCGCAGGGGGCCCCGCCCAGAGGGCCTCAGCTGCTGTGCGCAGTTCTCCGCTTAGTTCTCCCACCCCCCCGCGAGAGTGAGAAGTGACAAGGGGAGCACGTCTGTAACCCGACACCGTTGCAATGAATCGACATCTGACCAATCACGGCTTTGATACGCCCACTAGTGCAGGTGAAGAGATGTCGGTGAAAAGACAGTTTCAGTCCGGGGCAAGCAAGAGGGGAAAAAAAAAAACATGAAGAAACTAGAGCATCACTCGAAGGTGGGTTATTGTAATAATGTTTATAAGCATGTTTTGTCTCGACTATATTACAACTATATTATAATAAAATAATATAGTATTTATATTATTGAATTGATTATGATTATTATTATTAGTAGAAGTAGTTTATTTGCATTCATTATATTTTAATCTTTGTGATGCTAGTATTTGGCAGGAAATGCAGACGTATTCACCGGTAAACGCATACTGAATGACATACATGCACATTTACCATTTACCTCACTGTATAAAAAAGTAACTGTGTTGATAATAATAATGAACAGGAATTATATTTGCAAAGTAGCCTACTTTGTTTCCAAAAAAAAGGTTTTCACTCCTGTCGGGCCTCATCTCACAATGTCGCTTGGGGCCCCAAGTTGGCCAGGGTTACATCCCTAGTAAAAGGTCCTGGTTTGGATAATATATAAGCGTGTTTGTTACGGAAAAGAGAGATTTCCCTGGAAACATAATCAACAATGCATTTTGTTTGCATGAGTAATCTTTAGGAGACGAGGCTGATACAGAAATCAATTCACAGATTTAAATGACCTCTCAGCAAACGTCCACTCTTTCTCATGACGTCTCTTACAGTAATGACGAAGCTCTTTCCTTGTCTTCATCCTCTCTATTTATCCATGTTTCAAAAAGGACGGATAGGATATCTACCTCAAGAAATCTCTCTTATGTTGCCATGAAAGAAAAATAAAAACGCCTCGTAATTAATGGCTTTAATTAATACTGCCTTGTTGAGCTGTAAACTAGAGTGTAACTAATCCCTCTGCCCTTCACACACACACACACACACACACACACACACACACACACACACACACACACACACACACACACACACACACACACACACACACACACACACACACACACACACACACACACACACACACACACACTGGAGGAGATGTTTTTCTCTTTTATTTGAGCCAAATAACAGTCTATTTGCAGCATTCTGTATAAATTAAAGTAAAGAGTGCAAACACATTTTTTAATGACACGATGAATCTCCAAAATCATATTTTACATATTTTTGTTAATTGAGTTTAGAGTCTGGGAAAACATGTTGTGTAAAATACTACATTACCCATAATCCTATGCTGCTTTTTGCATTAAGAAGAAGGTAGTGAGAAGTGGTAATCAAAGTGCTTACAACTAGGATAAAGCTAATTGTCTTATTTTTATTTGAATTAGAATACAAACTGAGTTTAACTAAGGTTTTTACGTGTTCTTCATCTTTAGCTTTTTCCTCCCTCAGGTTCAACAGGTTCCTGTATTGCATTGATTTGTATCACCTGTCTTCCTGCCATAGTGTATAAATCACACTATCTCACATATATCTCACATTTCGACATGCCAGAAAGGAAAAACAGACGTAAATAATAAGCTTCTTCAGGTACAGGATGGTTCATTACTTACTGGGAAACTACATCATTATTTTAATAATTTACACACTAGTTAGAGCATTTAATACTCCAATGTCTTTCTTGACTTATTGAATATTTAGAGATTTGGGAAGATATGCCTATTTGATGTCTTGCTGAAAATGTATAGCCTATATGGAGCAGAGCTAGCTAGCGGTTAGCTTAGCACAAACACTGAAAACAGTCAATTAG